TCTGACAAAAACTGCTCTTTTTCAAGGACAGCTGTGCCAGAACTACGGCTTGCAAGTGGAGGAGTGGGGAATCAAACCCGGCTCTCCCAGATTAGAGTCCGCGCACTTAACCACTACACCAAACTGGCTATCCAGGACCTGGGGATAGAACCAGGAGTAAGTTGGGTGATGGAGACAGGAACAGAACCTAGCAGTTTGCTGCCGGTCCATGTATGTCATCTAACGTGAAAGCTGTCTGTTAATCAAATGCACTCCTCAATGAAAACCTGGCTGGGCAAGGGAAACCCCCTAGTCCCTAGCAGTTTGCTGCCGGTCCATGTATGTGATCTAACGTGAAAGCTGTCTGTTAATCATATGCCCTCCTCAATGAAAACCTGGCTGGGCAGGGGAAACCACCTAGTCTCTCTGGTCTGGCTAACAATCCCAGTTTTTAGTGATGGCTTTGTGGCCAAGGACCTTTAAGTTTCCCTCTAGTAAGATACAAGAGATCACACCTTCCCCACTATAGCCCCAACAACCCATTTGCAAAGAGTTCCCCCCCCCAAGAGTTCAGCATCACATACTCAAGGTTATAACCAGGGTGGGGCTCCACTTGGAGTACTGGTCTTTGCTCCACCTAAGGATTATTCAAAAGACAGGCCCAGCGCTAGGGCCTTAAACTCCATCTGCCTGACCTGCTCAGTTTCTTCACCCTAAGTTAGCTCAGACATGGCAGATTTTTCTAGATAATTCTTGTCTTTATGCAAGAAACAAGCACAAAACCTCCTTCATCTAAGGGCTGGATGTTTAAAGGGGGCAACAGCAAGCTAGGGTCAAGTCTAAATTAAGAATTTTTTTACAGCTTCAGGAAGTAGGGACAAAAGTCTGAACTTGAAAATATCTATTTTTATTTAGTTTTTATATTTCTGACCTAAAAGGCAGATAGACAATCAGGCTTAGTGAGAATGTTATAAAACCGGTGTTGCAACCTTTTTGAGCCTGTGGGCACCATTGGAATTCTGACACAGCCACAAAATGGCTTCCGCAAAATGGCTGCCATGGGAGGCAGAGCCAGCCATACAATAGCTGCCACAGCTTACCTTCAGTCACACAGTGGAGATCCTTATGCTGTGGTGGCAGCTGCTGCCGAAACAACATTTTAAAAAAAAATCTGCAAAGCCAATCAAACTCCAATGGCCAATGAGAAGCCTTGCTGGGAAAAGCTCCACCTAACCATGCCCACTTTCTAAAATAAGTTGGTGGTCACCAGAAGAGAACACAAGAGGAACCATGCTGGAGAAAATCAGTAGTCTATCTAGCTCAGCATCCTGTTTCCAACAGTTACTGGATAGATGCTACAGAGAAGGCCGCAAACAATGCCCACAGATGATAGCTGTCACTAGGGTTGCCAGACTCCAGGTGGGGCCTGGAGATCTCCTGCTTTTACAGGGGGGAAAAGGCTGCTTTGAGGGGTGGACTCTATGGCATTGTACCATGCTGAGGTCCCTCCTCTCCCCAAACCCTGCCCTCTCCTGGATCCACCCCCCAAATCTCCAGGTATTTTCCAACCCAGACCTGGCAATCCTAGCCGTCACCTATTGACTACTCCCAAATTCTGATCATTAAAACCAGGAATTCGCCATTGGCTGTCATGGCCAACAACAGAACTATTATCAATCGGTCCAACTTCCTTAGCTAGTGGCCACTACCCAAGTGTGTTGAGCAGTACGTCCTTTTGTCTGTCTTGAATCTACTGCCAAGTTTCATAGGGCAACTCTGAGTTTTAGTATTACGGGAGTGAGAGAAATAGAAGTTTATGCGGGTTATGAAAAAATAGTTATCCTCTTCTGGAAGTCCTTCCTGGAAATGTGGTAGTCATTCTAAGCAAAGAAGGCTGGCTATAGCTCTGATGCTATAATCTACTAAGTATGTATATAATGTATATAAAATGTATATAAACTAGGCTCACCATTTTAGTGGAAGTACTCTCGAATCTCGATTCTACCATCCGCTATTTCCAGCACTCTTGAATCCCCCTTTTGATATTTGGGGTCAATAAATATTAAAATGAAATACAAGTCGGTTGGACTGGTAGGGAAATGGCCTGGGGGCAGCTGTGGGGGTGAAAGATGCAAATCTGTGGCCGTCCTTCCACCCATCAGCCACCTTTCGTAAATCTGCCCGCCCAGAGGGGCCATGGCTCAGTGGCAGAGCATGTAGAGAAGGTCCCAGGTTCAGTCTGTGGCATCTCCAGTTAAAAGGATCATGTAGTAAGTGATGTGAAAGACCCTCTACCTGAGACCCTGGAGAGCCACTGCCAGTCTGAGTAGACAATACTGACCTTGATGGATCAGTGGTCCAATTGAAAATAAGTGGCTTCATGTGTTCACCCCTATAATCCTGTTATCTTTACCAACACGTGGGTGAGACCGTGCATTTGCCAACTGTCAAGACAATCGCTAGTTCTGCACAGGCCTTTTAATGTATGACTCTGCCCTTTTTTGGTTCCATCTGCTTCTCCTCACTCGTATTTGTGTTTAGGTTTATCCCAACATATCCTGCCCTTTGTGCAACATCCTGCTATTGTCTAGCTGTACTCCCTTGGGAAACTCTGCCGATCTGCAAGGCTTTATACTGTAGCCACGCACTATTGAAGAACAATAGCAGGACCCCAGGGACTGGACAAGTAGCTCCGTCTGCCCAAGCAGGATCTGGGTTTTCCAACATGGCAAACTGCTTTTAGAACTGAAGGAACGTTCAAACTCAGATTGTGGCATGCTAGTGGGGAGCAGGGCAAGGAATGTCTCTTGCTTGAAGGAAAAAACGAACAGAATCTCTCTGGGTTGGCCCAAGTCTTAGGGCAAGTTGAAAACAAGCCTTTATGATCCCAACCTATGTTAGTTATTGGAAATATTCCTTGTAAAGTTTTAGAAAAATGTAGAGAAGCTCTCGAAATGTTGCACCTTCTCAATAGCCCTCTCTAATAACAAAGTTGACAAATGTCCAGAACAAAAATGTTATCCTCTTGGATAGCTGCCCAAATTGAAGGATGCCAGAAAAACAAACATAAACTCAACTGAGACCCCTTTTGTTGCTGTTATACATCAGGATTGCCAACTTTTGAAATTAAAAAAAAAAGGGCTTGTCCAGAGGTGGTCTGGAGGTGAACCTAGGGGGCAGAACTCAATAGTTGGAGGCAGGTCCACAGGGCAGCCCTGGGCAAAAGCTCATTTCTTATCTACGGCATGCAGCTAAATAGTACTAGGCTTTGGGAGGAGCAAACAGTTTTGTCCCTTTGTTTTCTGTCCCTCATTTAGTAGTCTAGGACTCATGGGTTAGTGGCAAATGTGCACCCTTCAGGATTAGATAAAATTGTACACTAGTAGCAAGTAATGAAATCCCAATGGCCTTCTAAAAGACCTTTTCAACCTTTACCCATTCTTTCTCTGCTCCAAATCATCCTACCAGGCCTTTGTGCTTCCATAGGATTTTAAACTGTTGGTTATACTTGCAAATGCATATCTGGAATCCTGGAAAGGGGGGGGGAGAGATAAAGAGTTTGGGAGGAACAGTTTGGAGTGGAGAAGGGATGGGTGGGGTTAAGCATACCCACCCTTCCCTGCTACAAATGTCTCCCCCCCCACACACCAAAAAAAAAAGCTTTAAGGATATTACACTCATTGTGCCACATTGAGCTGGTGGGTGTAATACATTTCCAGTGTAATGTGCATACCTGTGCTATAAATGCCAACACCATGTGAAAATATGGAAGTATATGCAGGACTCTTCAGTTTCCCAGACTTCTCGTTGGTGATTTCCAAACAATAGCAAAAATAAAAGCAAGTCCTCTCCCCCTTTTACCTGTGGTTTACCAATATTTATTTAATAGGTAAACTACAGGGTACCCATTTTTAAACTCCATGCTAAATGAGATACACATGTACACTGGTGTCACTGGAACTTCTGTGTCAATTGTGGCTTTTTGACTGTGCTAATTTTTCTATTCTGCCTAATATAGGAATTGGATTTCTCAGTTCTTGTAGCATGTCAGGATCAGGAATTTTGCAGTCTGTGATGCTTTAGTTCTGAAATGTTGCATGACAATCAAATGGCACATGTGCTTTAAAATGTGGATGAATTGGAGAGAAGAGTTTCCTTTGATATTAATAGCTCAACTACTTTGCTTGGTAGTCAGATAGTACGGAAGTGACTTGCTCATTTTGCGAGCTCTTCACAAACGTTCTTCACTTTATTTTCCTCTGCCAATACATAGAAAGTTTGGCTGCGCTCTGCTTGGGATATAGACAAAGATCGTTGGTGACTCGTTGGTCCATAGAAAAATTCCAGAAACAACACCATTATAATGCCCTCTTAGTTGGATAAAAAAAGGAAAGGGCAATCTAAATCTAATGAAGTTGATGAGGCATCCTGGATTCCCTTTTAGAATTCTGCAAACTAGGGGCTTGTGTGTGTTTGTCCTTCTTTTTTGTTTTTGGACTCAGCATCTGGCTTGAGGATTCTCAGAGTTTGAAAGATTGTACACTACTTTTTAAAAACTTTAAAAAAAATTAATATGTGTGTGCACGCTTCTGGGAGAACTCAGTCAAACTTGGTCCCTTTGCCTCTCTTTAGTCATATGGGAAATAACCTTCATATTTTTGGAGCATTGTCTATGAACACAGAGAAAGGGCGAAATAGATATAATGGAAGGAACGGGGGCAGTGAGGGAGTGAACGGACAGAAACATGAATGTTCCTGTGCTGGATGACTTGTTTGTCTTGACTTAGGAGGGGCCGGATTCCAGGGCTCTGGTGATGTAGTAGGAAACAGGAAAGCTGGTGTATACTTCCTACTTCGGAGCTGGTGTGAGTTCTTGAAGCAGCCATATTTCCATGCTGAAGTTGGAGGAGGGAGAGCCCCTGAATGCAAACCCACCCCCTTCGGTGCTTTCTGAACAGTCCGAGAGGGATGGAACTGGCTGATGAAATCTTTTGACCTGACAAACCTGTGTGTGTGTGTGTTGGAGGCAGAGACAAAAGGCCTTCCTCCTAAAGGGGAAAAGTGAAACACGGGTCAGGCCAACCTCCTCTGGCGCCAAGTTCTCTCTTTGAGCAACTGGATAAGCATGTCAGGAGTGCGCATCGTGTTGCAGAGACTCTTGGTGTGGGCGGCTTTCCTCTTACTGGAAGGTGAGTGACCAGAACGGGAGAGTCTCAGATGCAGTCAGTGGGGCAGAGTTCCCCAAGTGGAAGAGGCATTTCAAACCAGTAGCTGCATAAGCCTGTTGCAGTGAAACCGAAAAGGACTCTAGTAACTGATTGATACTGTCGGAAGCTTTTGTGGGCTGGAGCTGTCGTCCTCAGGATTCTTGGGTGGCAAATCCTAAGCGTATTTACCTGCCTGTAAAATCAATGGGTTTTAGTTCTAATGCTCAAGCTGTGCCTATTTACTGGGGACAGTCCCTGTTCTCTGGTCCCTGTCCAGGGTAAAACACAATCCCACAACTTTTCCCAACTTTTTTGTCTTTTGGAAATGCCTTGATAAAATGGTGCTGATGTGAACTTGTCGTCCTGCAGAGTTCAACAGCCTCCCCTGGGGCTGTAGCAGTCAAATATCTGAGTATGTGGTAAATACGTCTTTTCTCTAGTGCCTAGCCGTGAAGATGTATGTGCCGTGCAGCGCACAGCCTGCTGTGCTGCACCACGAGCTGTTAAGCTTGAACTGTTGAGAAATATTGTATGGCAATCTTGCTTTTCAAATATATTTTGACCTTAAAGGAGAAACCCTGACTCAGCTTTTAAGGCAAGACAGGACTCTGGCTTTTGCATAGTAAGAGCCATTGGCAATGTAATATCAGAAGGGATGGAGTTTCGAAAGCGTTTCTTTGTGAATGGGACTGTCAAAAGCATGCCCCTGTTTTTATATGTAAGGGCTGGGCTGAAAGATGTCAGTGGGAGCTTTGCTTATGGCACTGGCTGAACCACCCCCGTGAATTGCATACGGGGGAATCATCTTGTCTCATAAACAAGAAACTGCACCAGAAATGTGAACTATCCAGCACAGACGTACTTCTTTTTAAAAATGACATCCCAAGTCTCAACAGCAATTTTTAAAATAATTCTTATTCTTTTCTGCATGGTATTAAATATGTAAACACATAAAAATATAAACTGAAAACAGACTTTTATTGGGTGTTAGCAGAGCCAAAGAAATCCCTCTGTATTGTTTTGCACTTTGGATGCACAGTCTCATCTTATGCATCCAAGTTCCACCATGGAGTCTAAAAGGTTTCATAAATACTCTGTTTTCTTTAATGGCAGGTGGGAAGTGTGGATGACGCTGTGTGAATTTTGCCTCTCCCTGCTGCTACAAATTGTGTTTGTCTGTTATAGATAGGCTGGTGATATTCATGTATTTTTCCCCAGATATAATGAATATTATTGTACATGTAATTGCAGGCTACTTTAGACAACACTTGGGGCCTTCGGTTACAAAGGAAGTGAATCTGCCGGTTATACAAAATATGATTGTCCCAAAGCAACAAATTCCTTTACAACTAAGCTTGTTTCTTTTGATACAGGTGTCCTTTGCTTGGATTTCTGGTGTTTTGGGGCATGTTCTTAAGTTAGTGGCATCCCCGTCACCATGTACCTCTGTCCAGAGAACCACATAGTAATATCTGAGTGTCCTTTGAGGCTTTGGACTTCTAATTCTTGAAAAGCGCCCCCTTGCAGCATATAGCAAACTGCTTTCTCTCTGTATAGGAGTTTTTAAAGCAATTTATGACTCCGAGGTTTGCTGTTTCAAGGGGAAAATCAACGCTGCTTGTAAGGAGAAACCCTGACTCAGCTTTTAAGGAAAGACAGGACTCTGCCTTTTGCATAGTGAGAGCCATTGGCAATGTGATATCAGAAGGGATGGAGTTTTGAAAGCGTTTGTGAATGGGACTGTTGCTACAAATTGTGTTTGTCTGTTATAGATAGGCTGGTGATATTCATGTATTTTTCCCCAGATATAATGAATATTATTGTACATGTAATTGCAGGCTACTTTAGACAACACTTGGGGCCTTCGGTTACAAAGGAAGTGAATCTGCCGGTTATACAAAATATGATTGTCCCAAAGCAACAGATTTCTTTACAACTAAGCTTGTTTCTTTTGATACAGGTGTCCTTTGCTTGGATTTCTGGTGTTTTGGGGCATGTTCTTAAGTTAGTGGCATCCCCGTCACCATGTACCTCTGTCCAGAGAACCACATAGTAATATCTGAGTGTCCTTTGAGGCTTTGGACTTCTAATTCTTGAAAAGTGCCCCCTTGCAGCATATAGCAAACTGCTTTCTCTCTGTATAGGAGTTTTTAAAGCAATTTATGACTCCGAGGTTTGCTGTTTCAAGGGGAAAATCAACGCTGCTTGGTTTCCACTCTAGATTCTGGACATCTGGAGCAAATTTGCAAAGTGTGTTTAGATAATGTATTGGTTCCAGCTCATAGGCCTGAATGTGGCATGTATTGATAAGTGTCATGCACCCAAGCTGTATGGGAAAAGAGAGGAGGGCTTGGTGGTTAAAGCACCTGTGGGGCCTAGGGAAGGTCATAGGTTCAGTCCCAGATATCTCCAATTAAATAATCTGGTAGCTGTTAGAGAAAGTCCTGTCTCTGTCGGAAACACTTGTGTAACCACTCCAGTTAGAGTAAACAGTACTGAGCTAGAAGGACTGATGGTGTGCCTTGCAGTTTCATATGCTCAAGCAACCACCAAGAGACAGCTGCCTTGTTAGAGAAATGAACATCCTTTTTGCACACTTGGAACACTGATGACTCCTCCGGTGGCATCTGTTCTAGCCCACCACTGCTTTAAGTCCCACTAGGGTGGAAAAGAAATAACTCTTGTCTTTTTTCTGTACTGGCATCTGAAGCAGCTAGAAGAGGGAGGTATTTCCCATTAGGGAAGGGGGCACAGGAGGATCGGTTAACCCCTGGACTCCTAGAGCTGCACCCTCAGTCCAAACTGGGCCCTCTGTTGATACTTTTAGGGCCAAATTACACATCCCCGTGCCCAGAACTCCCGTGCCGTGTATAGTTTGATGAGCCAAAGTGAAAGAGCCACTTTTTGATTGCTTCATCCATCAAACTGAGAAGCTTTTCAGAGAGAAAAGGAAGGGGGTTGGCTTTGCTTACTCTGTGGACCCAGAATAAAACCAGAGACGAACTAGCAGCTGCTGAGACCAATGTGCTTGAGCCCTCTGAGAATGGTTCTACTGCAGTTACTGATCACCTGAGCCAATGGGACTGAATGAGTAAGAAATGCATGGTACTAGCACAGACTTCAATGGGATTAGTCTGGTTTCAGTAGTCTTGTGAACCACCTTATGTCCAGTGCAATCATTCGGGATATGAGTCACTTAACGCGAAAGGGACGGGGGGGGGAATGCTTTGTTTCTTGAGAAATAACTGGTAAAAAGCCGGAAATGCCAGAAATGATCCACAGAGGCACCTGTGCACGCTGCACATTCTTTTTCTTACACGCAATGTGACACATGGCAATGGAGGGGTGGGACTGAGCTAAAAATAAGAGTCTTCCACTTTTTTTGGGATGAGTTGAATGCCTCCTGCATTAAACCGGCTATCAAAATGACAATTTTTATGCCACTCAGAGGAATTTCTAGTGACTGTTTAATCCAATATTCAGAATCAGTAATAAATTGTCTCTGCAGGTTATCCTGCCCGTACTCACAACTGGTTTATCAGGATTTCCCCCCCAGGTATAGTATTCAGTCTGAGAGGCTTTGCGCCACTGACTTTCTCATAGTCTAACCTACCTCATGAGGTCGTGGTGAGGAGACAAGGAGGGGCAAACCATGTATGCTTTCTCAAGCTCTGGAGAATGGGCAGAAGGGAATGTATAGTAGGCAGAACAGACAGAAAAGTCTGGGGCATGACTGGCATGCCACCCACCACCTTTCTTCCCCATACACAGAGCAAGTGGGCAGATGGGTAATGTCTGCTGCTGTTTACCCACCAGCCCTTCTCCACTGTGGTAGCAGATTTCATACCACGCACCTCGCTTTCCTCTCCAGTGAGGTCCCAGGGTGGTTGACATTTTATAATTATCCTCATTGTATCCATTTTATCTCCCTGCTCAATGTTTTAATTGTTGTTTTTATGGTTTTGAATGTATTTTAGCTCTGGTTTTAATGGTTTTAATGATGTGCTTTTTGTTAAGAACATAAGAGACGCCAATGTTGGATCAGGCCAAAGGCCCATCCAGTCCAACACTCTGTGTCACACAGTGGCCAGAAATACCAGGTGCCATCAGGAGGTCCATCAGTTTTTTAAGACGGGATTTTATTATGTATGTTTTAATTTGTTACCTGCCTTGATGGCCGGTATGAGGGCAGAAAGGCAGGGTATGAAATTCGTGAAATAAAATAATAAAATAATAGAATAAAAGAACAAGCTGAGAAGCAGGTTAGGCAGAGCGATTGTGACTGGCCCAAAGTCACCCAGCAGGCTTTCATGGTGGAGTGGGGATTTGAACCTTGGTCTCCCTGATCCTGGTTTGACACCACTACACCATGCTGGCTTTCTAAGAGGGGAAGGTCCAGGGAAGGTGGAGGGCTGCCAGAGCTGTCCTGCAGAGAGACAGAGACAGAGAGACAGAGAGAGAAAAGGCAGGTGGCAGTGCTACCCAGTGTGGGGGGCAGAGATTGGCACTGGGAATTCCTAGGGTCCCGGGGCCCCAACATCTGCCCAGTGATAACAACTGCTGATGCTGACCCTGCTGTGTGGCTTCTCTTCTGCCCGTTCTGCTGCTGTCACACATGCCTTGGTTTTGTTGTTTAGTTTTTCACACCACATTTCAGAAGGGAGAACTCACTGGGCTGTCACTCAATTCAAGAAAGTTTAGTTGAGCATATGAGTTTTGCTTGATCTGCTAGGTAGATACTTCCATCTACATACATTTGTTCAATAGAACAATTGTTCTGAAGAAATAAAGCATCTTTTTGGTAGTTTGATGATGCATGCATAGGTTTTGCCAGCATCATCTTAGAAGGTGCAAGCGAAGAGGGCCCCACCAAAGCAGAGCAAAACAACAACAACAACAACAAAATGGGTCTATGGAGAAAGAGTTATTTTATTTAAACATATTGCCCGTATGTGTTTATTTCAGAGCCAGATACAATAGGAACTGCTTGATGCAAGTATACAGATCCCCCTGAACCAATGTAGGTGAAATGCATAGGGGCACTATATCTGAATAAAACAATTCATTTTCCCACTGCGCCGTTTTTTCTTTTCTTTTGCATCACCTTGGGAGAGGGACGCTCCCTTCTGTTGCTCATCTAGGAGGGAACACCACTTCTAAGGGATGTTTTCCAGCTACAGTTTTAAAAAAGCATTTTAATGCAAAACTCAGACAGCAAGTTAACTGAGGATATCTTATTAGTCATTAACATGTCTAAAATCAGTTAATATGATTACATGATGCAAGTCCTGGTTTATATGTTCCTTTGCGTTAACTTTGAACACATTTCCATCTGCCGTAGCTGTAGCAGAGACACAAGACAGCAGAATATAAATGTCTGGGGAATCTGAAAGGCAGCATGTGTTGAAATAGTTTGCCTGTGTTTTCTGCAAAGCTCTCAGGGACCCCCATGGCCTGCATTTTCCATTCGTGGTGGCTGGAAGTCTGTGGCTGACCATCCCTCTCGGAAGGGACAATGTCAGGAAGTTTTGCACAGGAAGCTCAGAGAGAATTGCTGTTTGTTACAACAAGAGTGGACTGGAGTCTCAGGAGGTGTAGATCAGCAGCATTTCATTCTTTAAACGGGGGGTGGAAGTGCAAGCATGCTATCACCTCTAAAAAAAGATTTTGCTGGGAAATGCGCATCTCAGTATTATCGGAGAGATAAAAAGACACCTAATTGTGTGCAGCTATTGAGCTAAAGAGGTTAAGCCTCTTGGAGGGACGGTTTCCCGGAGCACCCAAGGAAGTTATGGTCCACACTCTCTTGAAAAAACCATCCTTGGACCCGGCCGAATTGGCCAACTACCGACCGGTGTCCAATTTGCCCTATTTGGGCAAACTTATTGAGAGGGCGGTGGCATTACTGTTACAGGGCTATATGGAGGATGCTTCTGTCTTAGATCCCTTCCAGTCCGGCTTCCGCCCAGGTCACAGGACTGAGATTATGCTGGTCGCCCTGAATGACGACCTCTGAAGGCATCTGGATCGAGGTGGTGTGGCGGCACTGCTGTTGTTAGATCTGTTGGCCGCATTTGACACAGTTGACCACCAGTTGCTGACCCACCACCTCGCTGACATGGGGATTCAGGGGCTTGCCCTTCAATGGTTTGCCTCGTTACTCCAGGGTTGGGGACAAAGGGTGGCGATAGGGGATCAGCAGTCCCAGAGGCATCCCCTTGATTTTGGAATGCCTCAGGGGGCAGTGCTGTCCCTGATGTTGTTTAACATCTACATGTGCCCCCTTGCCCAGATTGCCCGGAGTAGTGGGCTTGGGTCTCACCAATATGCAGATGACACCCAGCTCTATCTGATGTTGGGTGGCGAGTCGAACTTTGCCCCAGATGACCTTCATTGGGTGCTGCAGACTGTGGCTGGTTGGCTCAGGCTGAGCTGGCTGAAACTAAACCCAGCGAAGATGGAGGTCCTGGGCCTGAGTCAGGTCGGTTCGGAGGGAGGTAAATCGGCTTTGGTGTTAACATAATCTCTGGCCTTTCTCAGACAGACCCCTTGAGTCACTGTGCCATATTTTTTTATACGCGTAGCTGCCAAACGAAAGCAAGAGAGAAATGTGGGCAGGGTCATGGATGCACCAGATGAATTTTACTCCAGAACGGACCACCGATTAGATGGGAATTCCAGTCCCAGGGGTTGCAAGCTGAGTACTTCATTCATGTAATAGACCAGCTCTTTGATATCTATTATTCATCACTAAGGTGAAATTGGAGGAGAGACAAAGTGCAGCATCCTGTATTTCAATGCAGGGCCTTTTAGCACATGAAGAGAGGAGTTCGAGGAAAGCTAGGATAAACAAGTGTCATGCGTTCCGTCAGCTCTTCACAACCCGCATTGGACAACATCCTGACATAACGTGGGCTTACCCTCCAAGGATCAGTTAACTGAAGGGGCATTAAAAATGTATTAGTGGCTTCCTAGCACAGCACACGCCTCTCAGCTAAATCCACTGAAAAGGCATGATTGGTTTGCACAAGGAAGCTAGGGACAACATCACAGTGCAATTTCGGTGGCGGCAACATCACAGTGCAATTTCAGTGGCGGCTCCTTTCTGGTGGAATAGGCTCCCGGAAGAGACTCGGGCCCTGAGGGACCTTGTAGAGTTCCGCAGGGCCTGCAAGACGGAGCTATTCCACCAGGCTTTTGAGTAGGAGCCGCCGCCACCATTATACCATCACCGTTCCACTATTATACCATCACCGCACCACTATTATCCAGTGGAGCGGGCATCATTGGGGGGAATGAGATGGCCCTGGGATGAAGAGCTGATGGCACTGCTGTGTGGAACTCTTGTTGTTCTGGGCCTATCCTTCCAGAACCCCATATTGTGATTAATGGATTTGTGACAACCAGAGCACTCGCACTTTATTGTATTGTATAAGATTGTTTTATTCTGTTTTTAACTGTTTTAACCTTGGCATACGTGCCTCTTCTGTTAGCTTCCCTGAGCCCACTCTGGGGAGGGCAGGGTATAAATTTAATAATTAATAAATAAATAAATAAGCCTGAAATCCTAAACACACTTACTAGGGAGTACACTTCCAATGGTACTTGTTTTTTGAGTATACATGTTTTGGATTGCACAGTACCAATTCTACTAATACTGGTAGTATTGCTGTTATTATTATTGCTGCTATTGTTGTATTACTGTTGTTATTTTAGCATTTATCTTTAGATTGTTTAGGTCATTTCAGCATTTATCTTTAGGTTGTTTCTTTTTAGGTTGTTCAAAGCTCACACGTTATTTCAGTATTTTTTACAACAGCACTGTCAGGTAGGATGGTATTATTATTCCCATATTACAGACAATAAAGAGACAAGGCTAGGAGACCATATCGCATGCCTTAGACAATCAGCTGTGGCCATGGACAAGGCAAGATTTGAGGCTTCCTGGCTAGGCTATTATTACTAAATAGATTTGGTGCTACCACTGAGAGAGCTCAGTCCTGTGGAACCAACCACTGGGATGCAGAGAGAGGAGGAGCATAAGCAGATGATCTTAAGCATGCGAGTAGGTTGAACCGATCGGTGGAAATGCAGACCTAATTAATTCATTTCTTCATTTCCCCAGGTTCAAAGTCCCATTCAGAAGAGTTTGCGCCACAAATAATTGACCACCCCTCTGACCTTGTGGTTGGACAGAACCAGCCTGCTACCCTGAACTGCCGTGCCACCGGAAACCCAGCTCCCACGATTGAGTGGTATCGCAATGGAGAGCGCGTGAAAACAACCGAAGGTGATGCTACATCCGAGCCTACCCTCCTGCCCGATGGGTCCCTCTTCTTCCTCCAACTCAGCCAGAAGAAGGGCAAGTCAGATGAGGGTGTGTACAACTGTGTGGCCAGAAACCACTTGGGCACCGCCATGAGCAAGAACGCCTCACTCTATGTGGCAGGTAAAGGCGCAGGCATTGTCTTGCGGCACTGAATACCAGGGAGGTGCTTTCATTTGTAGAGTAAACAATGAAGAAAACAGCCACGATGTATAATGAAAATATATACATGAGCACGTAAAGATTTTGTTTCATTGAAGAGGGAAGAATGTTTTGTGTCAAGTTCACAGATTACAATTGTTGACGTGTAAACTAATGTTATTCACGCAGCATACTTAGATAAAGCGGTCATGTGAAACGGGAGTATATGCAAATTCTGGTGTTTGGATGCGTACATCTTGACTACTTGTTGATGAAATACTACTCAATGCAAAACAGCAGTCTAAAATATATTTATTTTCGTTATACATCACGGCTGTTTTCTTCATTGTTTGCAACCTACCCGTGATCTCTCTGTTGTTTCTACATTCATTTGTAGTGTGGCAGAGCAATTTTGGCAAGCCTCTCTGAGCCTAAGCAAATGTGCAGATGGCATGCTCTTTTTGGAGTTGTGTGTATGTACATATGTGCTGTCAAGTCACAGCCGACTTGTGCTGACCCCAGCAAAGGGCTTTCAAGGCAAATGAGAAGCAAAGGTAGTTTGCCATTGCCTTCCTCTGCAAAGTCTTTCTGGGTGGTCTCCCATCCAAGTACCGGCTCTGCTTAGCTTCTGAGATCGGGTGAGATCGGGCAGTCCCGTACCATTCCACATTCCCTTCCTGGATTGTAGAATTTCAGAATTCAGAGATGTGTATGTTGATGGCAGAGTGGGTAGTATTGGTCTACAACTTCACCAATCAATATGAAAAATAGGGTGGAGGGCAGGCACTATTTTGCACTGATTGTGAAGGGCCAGAGTATGGGGCAGAGGTCAGAAGATACAAGATGCTGGGTCACACCAAGATCTATATTGCCCAGCGTTCTCTTGTCAAGATGGGCTAGTAGAACACCTTTGGAAGATCACAAAGAAGGCATGAAGGAAACCAGGGCTTTTTTTGTAGAAAAAGCCCAGCAGGGACTCATTAGCATAATAAGCCACACCCAACAGCAGAAACTCATTAGCATATTAGGCCATACCCCCATGCCTACCCTTGGCTTGCCCTGGCACCCTGCAGCTGCGGGGAGCCTCGGCTAGCCAGCCCTTGAACAGGCCAGGGAATTTAAATGCCTCCTCGATCCTTCCAGGGCCCCCCTGGCTGGCTGGCCTTGGAGTTGCTTGTGGGGGTTGCTCTCCAGGCCTTCCCTCTGTAGCCACACACGCAGAGGTTTTCGCTGTAGTGGGCATGGCCAACTCTGAAGCCAGCCGGAACTCCGTTCCTGTGCGTTCCTGCCCAAAAATACCCCTGAAGGAAACAGCCCTGTCCTGTTAGGTGCTTCCATGACTGGCAATACTTCCCCTGTACCTGACTATTCCGTTCACTTGTATTGCATAATAAGCTCTGATAGACCATTCTTCATGTGTTTGTCTCATCCTTTAAAAAAGCCACCTAAGCTCATGTTCGTGCCAACATAGTGTTGGATTCCATCAATGGAATATCTGTTGTGTGAAAGACTTCCATTTGACTGTCCACGATTTACTGTTAGATCATTTTAATTGGGTGAGCCCAAGTTTTATTTCCTGGCCCGAATCTGATTTGCCCAAATTGGGGAAGATATCAGGAGCCTCCTTTAGCAGATGCTCATAATCCTTCAGGGAGACCTATTTTTTTCCCCCCAGAGGGTAACCATGTTGGTCTGCAAGAGAAGAGCAAGATTCAAGTCCAGTAGCACCTTAGAGACCAACAAGATTTTCGGGGCATGAGCTTTTAAGAGTCAAAACTTCCTCCATCCTCTTTGTATCTGATGAAGGCAGCTTTGACGTTCAAAAGCTCTAACCCCTAAAATCTTGTTGGTATCTAAGGTGCTATTGGACTCAGATCTACCTGGTCTTTCTTTCAGAATGTATGGCTTCAAATATAGCCCTGCCACTCACAGTTCCCAGCCTGGAATGTGAACTTGAGTGGCTCTTAATCCTGATCTTCTTTCACAAGCATGCAGTGCCAAGAATGTAGATCTGGGCATGGAAAAATCCAACTTCTTTGGGGAAAACAGTTCGGCTTGTTGCCCGGTTGTGAATTGAGCTGACCAACAGGGATGTTTATTTCAATTAGTGCTCTTTCTTGCTCCCTCTCATGCCAAAGAAGCAGAGAATAAATAATGCCACCCACAAACTGGGAGCGACCGCAAAGAACGTATCTAGAAGACGGGCTCTTCTAAAGGGTATTCATTGTTGTTCTCCATTAGGGAGACTTTTTCTACTCATTCTTTCTCCCTTCTTTCTTACCCCGTATGCTACAATACTGGGTTACCATTGGGATGCTGAACACCACGCCAGTGCCCACCCCTGGACTTCATCAGTTTCCTCACCTTTGAGCTGACAATGTCTCCCTTGTAGGACTATAGAGCACTAATTACTGGTGCAATTAAAATCCTCTTCAATATGCAGGTCCAGCGACTCTCCAATTAACACTTCATTAATGATCCAGCTCCATTAGACTCCCTTGGCCTAGCATGAAGGCTCACGTCGGTGTTTGGCAGCTATAAATATTCATACAAGCAAAGATGGTTGGGGAGATGCGGCGCTATATTAGATGCACAGTGTGGGGCCGCATTTCAAGCAAATGTTCGCAGATAGTCTCTCTTCCTCTTCCTGGAAGTCTGGCGATGAAGCAGGTGCTTTGGGCTGCAAATTCCAGAGAGCGGCCTCCCTTTTCCTGTCTCCAAACCGTATCTCTGTGTGTCGACAAAAAATTATCAGCAGGAGAAGGAGGATGTTTTGGCATTTGGCTTCAGATATGAAAATGTTTACAAGATGATCGGCGTATCATACAGTAGGAGGTGGGAGACCAAGGGGGTGGGATTCGAGACGGCACCACGCCAGGTTACATTTGTAAGGGGTTTCATGTTGGGACAGTGCTTGACTATATAAGAACCCCCTTCAGGTAGCAGACTAGTTTCTCAGGGAGAAGGTTCTAACCTCCATCACACAGCTGTTGTTGTGAGGATCACATGAAGGGAGGCAGGGACCCTGGGGAGAATGATGCATGCCACTTGATGTGGCAAGGCGTGTGGGGGCAAGTGGATGCATGACTGACTCATGCTATCTGCACTATAAGCCTATGCTGTTATTTTAGTAATTTAGGTGTTTTGACCCCACTTTTCTCCATAGCAGGTACTACGGTCACCAGTGTTCCCTCTAAGCTGAGTTAATGTGAGCTAGCTCACAGTTTTTTAGCCTCTGGCTCACACATTCTTGTCTTAGCTCAGGAAGGATGGCTCCAGAGCCAACTAATTTATGCAGCAGCCAAATCACTCGCTCACAGCTTTAATGCCAGGAGCTCACAAAGTAGAATTTTTACTCACAAGACTCCGCAGATTAGAGGGAACATTGACGGTCACCATCTCCGGGTTGAGAAATTCCTGGAGATTTGGGGAAGGAGCCTGCGGAGGACAGGGTTTGGGGAGGGGAGGGGCCTCAGCTGGGTATAATGTCATAGTGTCCCCCTTCTAGTGTGGCAATTTTCTTGAGGGGGACTGATATCTGGAGATCAGCTGAGAGATCACCAGGCCACACCTGGAGGCTGGCAACCCTAGTGGGTACTCAAAGTGGATTATATCATTGTATGCCCTTTGTACATCACACACACACACACACACACACGCCTGTTTTCTTTTTTTCCTCAGAGGAAGTGTGTGTGTGTGTGTGTGTGTGTGTGTGTGTGTGTGTGTGTGTGTGTGTGTGTTAAGTGCCCTCAAGTAGCTTCCTACTCATGGTAACCCTATGAATTAACGACGACCTTCAAATTATCCTGTCGTTCACAGCCTTGCTCAGGGCTTGCAAACTGAAGGCTGTCAGGCTTCCTTGATTGAGTCAATCCATCTCTTGTTGGGTCCTCCTCTTTTCCTGCTGCCTTCAACTTTTCTTAACATTATTGTCTTTTCCGGTGACTCTTGTCTTCTCATAATGTGACCAAGGTATGATACTCTCAATTTAGTCATTTTAGTTTCTAGGGAGAGGGCAGGCTTGATTTGCTCTAGAACCCACTTATTTGTCTTTTCGGCAGTCCACAGTATCCGTAAAACTTTCCTCCAACACCACATTTCAAAGGAATCAACCTTCTTCCTGTCAGCTTTCTTCATTGTCCAACTTTCACACCCATACGTAGTAATGGGGAGTACTATGGTATGAATTGTCTTGAACTTGGTCACCAGCGACATATCCTTACAAGTGACATTTCTTCATCGTGTGCCCAGAATTGTGCCGAGGGTGGCTGAGCCCTGCCAACATCCACCCCACATTCCATACAGCAGTAAGGGTACAGCTGAGTACAGCCCAGCATCAAGGGAGTGCCATCTGCATACACCCCTGGCCACACTGCCAATGTGGCTGGCTTAGGCAAGCTCCCCTCATCAATAGATGCCTCAGACACTTGCCACATTTTCTAGCCTGTATCTTTTTTTTAAAAAATCTGTTTTTAAAAAACTTTTAACCTGGAATCAGTCTACCCTGCTTTCTAACTTGACCAGAGCTACAGCAAACTTCATACTCATGTCTTTAGTGAGGACCTTATCAGTGTACTCTGGCTCCTCCATTTTATCTTCACAACAACCCTTTTAGGTAGGTCAGGCTGAGAGAGAGTGACTGACCCAAGGACACCCAATAATTTGTGGGTCAGCTAGGGCTCAGCAATAGCGAGGACTCCTCAGGAGAAGAGGAGCCCCGTGTAGCCAGCCTCGAATAAACAGAGGTTGACCAGCAAGATAATGAAATGCAGGCTTGTCAGGATTCACAGCCTACAGCTGGTGCAGAGCCACCAGCCCTGATTCAGCAGGTGAACCTCAGTTAGTTATTCCCAGCCCACCAGTATCACCTACACCCTTACAGCACTGCAGACGGAGGCTGAGAACAGAGCTACAGACAAGATGGCAAAGTGCATGCCTCCTGGCCCAATGCCAGCTGCTTGCTGATGACAAAGATGAGTAGT